ACTCTAGAAAATAAACTCGCTGCTCGCAAGATATTTATAGGATGCACCGTTCGCGTCCAAACGCATTTAACCAAAATGCAATTGCGAATTTCCTTTATTCGCTATACGATTCACCTTCACAGATTTGCAACATTGTTTAGGCGTTTCTAATCGATTTTCAAGAGCTGAAACGTCGAATTTTGCAAATGTTTCGCGCTTTAACAATAACGATTACACGATTGTGATTTGCTTCATTGTGTTCTGTCTTCCTTGAACAAGAGAACACAATTTTTGTTACACTATGCGTTTAGGAAATTTGTTTAAATTATTATTTAGAACGCTCGAAGCGCGTAAAATTTTAAGATTTTCGAATGCAAGCTATACTTTCAGAATTTTTTACTACGGTATCATGAGATCTTTTGTTATAGGATTTTAAGGTACTTTCTTTATTCGTATTGCAACAATGTTTACGAATTTTTTAACAAGGATGAAACGAACATCGAGCTTTCTACGAGCGATGAAAGCCAACGCTTCGACGAATAAATCGATCTGACACGAAATAAATGTATAACTTAGTGCTTGCTAGCGTTTTGTGTTATTGACGTTAAAGCCGAAAAGATTCGCGAAGTAGAAAATTGAAGCCAAACGAAACGAAACTTAATCGGGGTCAGTGGCATTTGTCAGAAGAGTCTAGACAAAGTTGAAAATCTGAACACGTGTTCGACAATGTTCCAGGACGAACGGTGCATAAATAAGAAAGTGGTCGTAACATTATCTTCCACGCAGTATTTAAAATAATTTGTGCTTAGCTTTGTTATTAGACGTAGTTTTAGAAACAACCGTTTCCAAAAATTCTTAGGTCGTACAATAAATTCGTTCGGATCAAAGTAAATTCACCATGAAAATATTACAATGTTCAAAATTTTTTTTAGTCATTTTATAGTAACTTTTTAGTAATTTATAATAACACTTTTTTTAATAACCTTAAGAAAAACACAATAAGAAATTTAAATATTCAGACAACTTAAATAAAAATTGAACGTAGATAAAAATATGCGATAAATAAATTATTCCCTATCTCATTTCACTCGTTGAAGAACAAGAAGTGAACGAACGAATTTGTCACGTGACCTAACGTTTCTTGATTTTTGGAATTTGTCAAAATAGATCGCACACTTTTGAGTTTTACTAGAATCTCGTCTACATTTTGTATAGCAGTAGATCGATGGATAGGGCAATAGATCATTCTACTTTAGTATAATCGACATTTACAGCTTCGACAGTTTTATATTAAAAATATTATATGGACATAGAGGTTGTATGGGTTCTGACCACTTTCAACGATCGCATTGAACATTATAATCTGACATTTCGAAATTAGTTTTCTCTCTCTCTCCCTCTCTCTCTCTCTCTTTCTCTCTCTCGTTTTTTTTCTTTTTTGTACTGGTCTAGATGTACTATACTTCTTGCTTATTTGTAGCTTGCGTTTCGCTCTTCGGGGTTGGGTGGGGGGAAGACGTTTTTATAATGGCTGACTGTTTCACGTTCTTGCACTTCCCCTTCTAGGATTTAATCGGTAAATATACGGGTTTTTGAAGGAAAGAGTAAGAATTCGTTTTACTCAGAAGTGGTTTGAAGACTTCACTTTCTTAAAATAGAAGAGGAGTATATTGGAGTAAACTTTATTGTAGAAACGCATGTAAATTATATGTAGAAACGCAGAACGAAAATATTATAATTCAAATATTTAAGAAAAATATTTCGGTGAACTGTATTTCATAAGTATAGAATGAAACACATATGCAGAAAATGTTTAAGTTCGAGACATGTAGTATATATTAATAAGGTACCGATAGATAAATGTAAAATTGAAATATTGAAATAAAGTATTAGGGTGCAATGTAATTCATAAACATAGAACTAAAGGCTGTCTCTTATACACATCTTGGAAAATTGAAATTAATAGAAACTCTGTAGTATTTTATTATAACGATTTTATTTTAATCCATATCATTGGATGAAAATTTTGTAACATTTTATTAGTATACATATATTAATCATATGCTTCATTATACCTCAATTTAATCTCATTCTACCCTCTGCCATACTCCTGTCTCTTATACACATCTAGATGTGTATAAGAGACAGTCTTAATACATTGTTTGATGTAATTGGAAATTTGATAATGTTTATATTCTTTCATTTTATATACTCTAATATGAAACAAATTTTGATAGATTACTTTTACATAAAATCCTAATGGAAAATTGAAATTAATAGAAACTCTGTAGTATTTTATTATAACGATTTTATTTTAATCCATATCATTGGATGAAAATTTTGTAACATTTTATTAGTATACATATATTAATCATATGCTTCATTATACCTCAATTTAATCTCATTCTACCCTCTGCCATACTCCTGTCTCTTATACACATCTAGATGTGTATAAGAGACAGTCTTAATACATTGTTTGATGTAATTGGAAATTTGATAATGTTTATATTCTTTCATTTTATATACTCTAATATGAAACAAATTTTGATAGATTACTTTTACATAAAATCCTAATGGAAAATTGAAATTAATAGAAACTCTGTAGTATTTTATTATAACGATTTTATTTTAATCCATATCATTGGATGAAAATTTTGTAACATTTTATTAGTATACATATATTAATCATATGCTTCATTATACCTCAATTTAATCTCATTCTACCCTCTGCCATACTCCTGTCTCTTATACACATCTAGATGTGTATAAGAGACAGTCTTAATACATTGTTTGATGTAATTGGAAATTTGATAATGTTTATATTCTTTCATTTTATATACTCTAATATGAAACAAATTTTGATAGATTACTTTTACATAAAATCCTAATGGAAAATTGAAATTAATAGAAACTCTGTAGTATTTTATTATAACGATTTTATTTTAATCCATATCATTGGATGAAAATTTTGTAACATTTTATTAGTATACATATATTAATCATATGCTTCATTATACCTCAATTTAATCTCATTCTACCCTCTGCCATACTCCTGTCTCTTATACACATCTAGATGTGTATAAGAGACAGTCTTAATACATTGTTTGATGTAATTGGAAATTTGATAATGTTTATATTCTTTCATTTTATATACTCTAATATGAAACAAATTTTGATAGATTACTTTTACATAAAATCCTAATGGAAAATTGAAATTAATAGAAACTCTGTAGTATTTTATTATAACGATTTTATTTTAATCCATATCATTGGATGAAAATTTTGTAACATTTTATTAGTATACATATATTAATCATATGCTTCATTATACCTCAATTTAATCTCATTCTACCCTCTGCCATACTCCTGTCTCTTATACACATCTAGATGTGTATAAGAGACAGTCTTAATACATTGTTTGATGTAATTGGAAATTTGATAATGTTTATATTCTTTCATTTTATATACTCTAATATGAAACAAATTTTGATAGATTACTTTTACATAAAATCCTAATGGAAAATTGAAATTAATAGAAACTCTGTAGTATTTTATTATAACGATTTTATTTTAATCCATATCATTGGATGAAAATTTTGTAACATTTTATTAGTATACATATATTAATCATATGCTTCATTATACCTCAATTTAATCTCATTCTACCCTCTGCCATACTCCTGTCTCTTATACACATCTAGATGTGTATAAGAGACAGTCTTAATACATTGTTTGATGTAATTGGAAATTTGATAATGTTTATATTCTTTCATTTTATATACTCTAATATGAAACAAATTTTGATAGATTACTTTTACATAAAATCCTAATGGAAAATTGAAATTAATAGAAACTCTGTAGTATTTTATTATAACGATTTTATTTTAATCCATATCATTGGATGAAAATTTTGTAACATTTTATTAGTATACATATATTAATCATATGCTTCATTATACCTCAATTTAATCTCATTCTACCCTCTGCCATACTCCTGTCTCTTATACACATCTAGATGTGTATAAGAGACAGTCTTAATACATTGTTTGATGTAATTGGAAATTTGATAATGTTTATATTCTTTCATTTTATATACTCTAATATGAAACAAATTTTGATAGATTACTTTTACATAAAATCCTAATGGAAAATTGAAATTAATAGAAACTCTGTAGTATTTTATTATAACGATTTTATTTTAATCCATATCATTGGATGAAAATTTTGTAACATTTTATTAGTATACATATATTAATCATATGCTTCATTATACCTCAATTTAATCTCATTCTACCCTCTGCCATACTCCTGTCTCTTATACACATCTAGATGTGTATAAGAGACAGTCTTAATACATTGTTTGATGTAATTGGAAATTTGATAATGTTTATATTCTTTCATTTTATATACTCTAATATGAAACAAATTTTGATAGATTACTTTTACATAAAATCCTAATGGAAAATTGAAATTAATAGAAACTCTGTAGTATTTTATTATAACGATTTTATTTTAATCCATATCATTGGATGAAAATTTTGTAACATTTTATTAGTATACATATATTAATCATATGCTTCATTATACCTCAATTTAATCTCATTCTACCCTCTGCCATACTCCTGTCTCTTATACACATCTAGATGTGTATAAGAGACAGCCACGTAGCTTTCTATTTTGATTTGCTCTCGATGGTAAAACGAAGATGTGTATAAGAGACAGATGTAAAAGTAATCTATCAAAATTTGTTTCATATTAGAGTATATAAAATGAAAGAATATAAACATTATCAAATTTCCAATTACATCAAACAATGTATTAAGATGTCATCACTGAAATATAATATTGTAGTAATAATATTGATGTAACTTGATTTTACACAGAGCTAAAAAATCTACAAAAACACCATTTTTGGAATATTAAATGAGAAAATAAAATTCTGCAGTTTTTAAATAAACATGCTTCTGTTACAATGCAGGATTTACTATTCTCTTGAGTAATTCATAAAATAAAAAAAATAATAAAGATATGAATCGAAACTATACTAATCTCGCTTAGTATAATATAGTTTTAATACTGGTCTCTTATGGGACAAACAGTAAAACAGTATACTTTTTGTGTAATGAAAACAATAATTCGTGAAGAATTTGAAAATTGATAGAGAAATAATAGAGTCCCTAATTACAGTAAAGTCTCCAAACCATCAAGCGTTAAATATACGACTGGTAGATAACTGCTCGGTAATACTCTGACGTAAAATTAACGGAAACTGAGGAAGAAAGTTCGAAAATCTCCGTGTGAAGAAGTCACCGAACCATTATCGGCCAACTTGCGAACAAAATAGTAAAGTGCGATACAACGGAATGCTAGTTACGCAATATTAAATATCATAGTCTTTTGCTATGGCGGCGAGACGACACTGTATTTACAAATTGGCACTTTCTCCGTTTTGGTATAATTAGTATACACTTGTCGGTGGTGCGAGTTGGTTCCGATGCGTGGTCAAACGAGAGAATTTCGGACGCGATCACGACGAATGACCGGTGACACTCATTCGCGTCCTATGTTCTTGGAGCAGCTCCCACACACAAAGAATCTCAAGACCACTTTTATAATATTCATTAAATTCATCAATTCCAAATAAGGTCGATATTATAATTTTCCTCCAAGTAAATTCGAACAATCGCCTAATACATATACACATCTCTGACACCTACAAATATATAAAACTAAACAAAAGATGTGTTCGTTAACAAAAATTGTCAATTAATCAAAACTTTTTAATGAAGAAGTGCATGTTTCTTCAAGTTCTAACGGATTGAAGAAATTTGATGTCAAAGTCCCTAAACGAATAATCATCGTGAAATTCTCTAGACTGATCCGAGCCAGAACCATAATTAGCGAAACGAGTGCCACACTGATTATCAGAACATGTTCATTCGTCGCTCATCGTTCTAAACAAGCAAGGCAATCAGCCTTCAGCTTCTATTATACACACGTTACTATGAGTATGTACAACAACTACGGACAGTTGACTTCCACGTCGCCTATTCCGTTCAAACATCTACACTTTCTCACTCTCTTTCGCACACTCTTTCTCTCTATCTCTTCCCTTTCTTCTTTTCTTTGTTAAGTTACTTATGTTATGATGAACACAATGATCAAAAGTTTTCAATCACAATAGATTTACGCGAATGTTGCATTCGCCTATATAATTCGATTCCTGGCTACGTCGCAAGTTCCTTGAATTTTGCGTCCCTCCCGCTACTGGTCGCCATATTATCCTCGTGTTGATTACCTTCCTTCAGGCTCGTTCGAAAACGCTTCGCGAACCTGATGGTTATCACCGCGATCGCGCCTTTGGTTTATTCAAACTCTGAAAGGCGGCCTCGGGTCTGTTCTGACCCAGCGGTTGAAAGTTAGCGGAGAGAGTGGACCTTGAAGTATTTTGTATGTCTAAGATTGTTGTTCTCCTTTCAAATTTTGTTCTTGAATTAACGAGCATCGTGTAAATGTTGTCGAAGACCAGTTAAGAAACTGTATTATTATGTGCTCAATTTTCCTACAAAGTGATCTTTTGAATCACTTGGTTTGTCTGTGATTTTCCTAAAAGATTCACTTAATGTAAGTACAAAAGCTTCTCCCATTTGTATCGATTTTTCGACATTATTTCGTGTATTTTCTTCGTTTTTATTTCATAAATTATTAGATGTGTAAACTAATTATGTACTTTTATCTATATATATGCGTAATTGTATCTTCGATCTAAATTCGAAAATCTTCCTGCCATATAGCGACTTTTGTAGTACCAACCTTAATTTGTAGGTTAAATTCGGATATCTTCCTATCATTCAATGAGTTTCGTGGTTCTAATCATAAGATACAGTTTTAATTAAAATATCTTTTTATCGTTTCGCAAGTATCATACTGTCTACAGTTTAAGTTGAAAGATTTATCTGACATTTATTGTATCTTGTAGTGCCAACTTAAAGTTAGTAAGTTTTGCCGTACCAATCTTAAGCTGTTAAGTGCTCCATATAGTTGAGAAGGCACCAACATTAATATTTTGAACAGTAATATGTTCACTACTCAATTCTTTTAAGAAAAGTATGAAATTAATTTGCACACCTTATAATGCCACTATCCAAGTGTAGAAAATCAAAAGAACCAAGAAAATACTAGCAATATTTATGAATCCCATAATATGTCGATGTTTGATTATAAGCAGTGGAATGGAATCATTAAAGATCTATTTAGATACAGCTTCTCAACGTGTCATCATAATAATCTCAGATCATTGTTTAATCTCAGAGTATTAATCCATTAATATTAAAGTAACGTTAATGAGTTTCCTCGAGTCATTCTTTTAAAACTATGTTTGTAGATCATATCCAGAAAATCTCATAAGACTTTGATGATCCTAGACATCCATAATCTCCAAAAAGGGTCCGCCTTCCAGAGTTAAACCTCAATCGTGACAAGAAACTGAGACTACAGAAGATTCTTCTTGCTTCTCCTCGACTGTATCGATGATTCGATATCAACAAGACTTATAGTTACCAGCAAAGTCGAAAACACCGATTTCTAGTTAACTATTTGTTTAATCCTCCATATTCAGTGCAGTATTACCTTTCAATAGTGATACTGAACAGAAGTTATTGTGTCCTAAGCGTCAACTTGGAGGGCATGAAGAGAATTTTGCACATTGAAGCTGTCACCTTGAAGAGTCTTCGTCAATCGGCTTGATAGTCGCAAGAGTGGAACGCGTTGGAGAACATTATGCACGGCGGTGACAGAGATTGACGGGGCAATGTGCGTTTCATGACAATGTGTAACGCGAGGAACGAAGCGTTGGTAATGTGATCAACGTTAATACACTCAGGACAATTCAGTTTCACCCCTAAATATTCTTAACTCTTAAAAAACAGACATTTCTGACTGTTGCGCAGCTGAGTTCAGGTCCATTTCGACTCTTGCTTACCAATACTTTTAACACACTGACTCCAGCATGGCTTATATATGAGACCACAATCCCTTGCGTACGAGTCATTATAATCAATTTGAATTGCTCAGATCGTCAAGTGATTTCATTTAATTCTCTGTTACAATTCAATATTGCCAGCGTGTTAATTATATCATTGAAGAGTTTCTTATTGTATTTGAATGAATAACTAGCAATTTAACGATGACATTTATGAAACATTGGGTCAAAATGGACTCGAACGCTATAGACCAGGGGTTACTATATTTGCCAACTGGCTTGTTCAAAATAGTAGATAGTTATTGCCAGGCCACGCTATATTGGATCTTAGAGAGTTGCAGAATTAGCTAGAAAATAGTTAGACAGTCATTCAGCAGTAGCAAAGACGGGTTCTCTACGATGATAGTTCAATGAATCTATTGATCACAGTGTCCTGAATGCGTTAAACACGTTTGTAGCGGAGACACGGCCGATCTGATCGGTTGTGTTCAACGTGATTTCATCTACGTTTGAGGTAGAGTAATTTGGGAATGAGAAAAAGGTGGAGTGTCACCGGTGGATGAAAGAATAGCAGAGAAACCTTTGGCAGTAGAAAGTTTTGCTCCTTTCCTCAGCTGATTCCGAATGTCTGATCGCCTGGTCACTGTTCTATATTACTCTGTCCGCCATTACTTTGCCCCCGGTATTTTTCCTAACACCTGAAAATTTAAAGAGTAACCAATAAAGTGACTGTTTATACTTTAATATTGTTTAAAATCTAGTAGAACGTCAATTATCCGAACTACTTAATAGAACTGTCATTTATCTATATTACTTCTAATTAATACTGGTGTTTTTACCATTATCAATTAAATTTTATATTAATCTAATAGTTTGGATAATAGACGTACTACTGCACTACCAAAGCGCAAAACAATGCATGGCAGCTTCACAGTGATAAATAGTGCAAAACTCAGCGGAAAGACTATACTGTGTTTGAATTATGAAAAGTCACAAAAGTGACTGTATTTGCATGTGTGATAACATTTATGGGGTGTGAAAAATGAATTTGTTCCGCCTACCAGATTTATCATAGATCAAACTCAAATGCTAACAATCTTTCTTACTATACACGTCTCCCTGCCATAAGTGCATAAAGATTATTATAAAGTATTAGAATTTGTTCGAATTTTTATAGAATTATTTCTAGACATTATACACATTTTAGATGGCTGAACACCTTGTAAACATACTTTTGAAAGATCTACACCGGTCAGTGCTTGTACAGCTGGAGGTACTTGCCCCACAAGGCGCGTAATTTCTCCACTGGTTGTATCGTTTCCACCAAGAAGAACTATTTCCTCCGTTCTGGCCAATGGCGCTGCTACCTCTGCTGCAATCTAAAAAACATAACACAGTGTTATTACTCTGTAAAATCATGAAGAAAAATCAACGTATTCTATGCAACTTTACTTTATCTACTAGTAGGTGTGCATATCAATGAGAGTATTTTAAATTTAAACGCTTCCCCCATTTAATGAGTTGTATAGTACCAACCTTAAATCACAAATTACACACATATCGCAAGAATCGTCAAGTTCCAAAGTTTGTAGATGCATATAAATTTTTACAGGAATTAACAAGTAACAAGTATTAACAACTAAATGAAAATTAAGAAATTTTTAAATCGATGATAATTTCGTACCTTCGGTAAAGCGTTCAGAGCAATGTTTAGAATAGCTGCTTCTCCATACTTCTTGTACACAGCAGCCTTCATTCGCATACGTTCTGCCTCCGATATTCCTATTGCCTCCAGAGCCTGAGCTTCAGCTTCTCCAATGAGTCGAATTCTCTCAGCCTCAGCTTGGGCAGCATCCACTGTTTGTGTTCTGGAAAGAGTTGAAACATACTGAATACAAAATGCTGACAATATAGTTGCCTAAAATTGTTTAGACATAGTGACTAGCTTTAGGAAATGGTCAAACTACACATTAAGGTCTCCTTCTTAATGACAACTAATTCATTGTAAACCCATGAAAAGTGGTGAAACAATACTATAGTAACCACTTGTTTGAGACATTATGCTGGTCTTTTGTTTACCTGAACTTACACAGCTCATTTAATAGAATACAATTTGTGGGAAAAAATCCTTGATCTTTATACAACATCCTGCAAGGTAGACATGCAGCAATAATGTAATGAGATCAATAATTCATCCTTTTTCTAATCCTACTAAACAAGTGACACATCAAGTCTGGCTTATAGCAGTATTTTATTATCTGAAACTTGTCAGAATTCAGAATCGTAAAAAAACTTCGAACTGGTCTAATACTCTAACTACCATACAGAACCATCTTGATTTTGTGACACAAAGGGAAGAATTTGTTCTTTGGAAGTTTATAATATAATAATCAGATTTTGCACGCATTGTTAAAAGAATTAAATTAGTATCAATTAGTAATGACTATTTTTGAACCAGCAACAACATTACCAATGCTTAAGATGGCAACATTTTCTACCTAATGTTAAGTTTCCATTCTCAATGCAGCAAAGGGTAATACAATATGATTATTACATTATTTCACAGTTTTTCGAGTGTGTTGGACAATAATATGACTTTGTTAGCACATTAGTACCTTTTTCCTTCAGCCACTCTGCCAATTTTGTAATGCTCTGCCTCAGCTGGTAAGCGTACAGTGCTTTGGAGCTCATGTTCCTTTCGTTGGACCTCTTGCACCTCCACCTCAATCTGCTTGCGCCTTTGAACAATTTTTATTTGGATCTCCTCGTTTCGTATTCGTTGCCTTATCTTTGCTGCTTGAAGCTCGTAGGCAAGTTGAGCCTCAGCTTTCTGTGGAACGCATGTATAATTAGAAGGTGTCATATGGTACTTATTATTTTTAGTCTATGTATATATAGTATACATAAACTGGAAGATGTTCTAAGTCGAAAGGCAAGCGTTACAATAAGTCAAATATTATGTATGTCATTCTAATCTGAAAGCCAAGGCTTGCAGTAAATAATGGTCATAATAATAATAATAATGATAATACTGTAACTTGTGCTCCAATAAGGAGTACTGGATTGAGTAAAAAATTGTGTGTTGTCTATTACTACCGTATCGTACTACATACAACATTAGCAAGTACGAACTGAATAAGTAATTAATTAAGTATAATATAAGCATGAACGTACCGCTGTGTTCACTTCCTGATCGAAGTTCGCTTTCTGCAGCTGGAAGAGTCTGGCGTTGTCTTCGATCTTTGTGTCGGTGTTGTATTTCGTGTCCATCGCTGCTTTCTCGCACTCTGCTTCCTTAATTAGAACACAAGAGTTGTTTAACAATCAAGTGACACATTTAATATTTCCGGATAGTAAATATTACTGGGATACATGGAGCTAGGAAACAATTGCTTCCTTCATTACAAGAAAGTTGGAACTTCTTTCAAGAGCTACAAGTAACGTCCTACAAATTTTAGGTACTAAAGAGAGATCGAATTTATGCAACAGATATTCAGATGATGTTGTATTGTTGCACTCTATTATAGGACATATACTTATTAGTACTACGCAACTTTTTGTATAGCAAACTATGGCCTTTCGTTCACAGTTTCCTGGGCTCCTTTTTCTTTTCTTTACTTCTTGAGCGAAACGGAAGTCCTTTACAATTTTATTCTCTACACTCAGAAAATAAACTATTTTTCTATTAGTTTGCAAATTGGTGACAACTTATAATTGCACATAAAACAAGATAGTAAGGGATAGTGGAAATGAAAATTCGTTACTAAATTTCAGAAAACAAGATAAAATTATAACGAAATGGTGGTTTTGATAAAACCACTAAAATAAAATGGTGGTTTTGATAAAATCACTAAAATAAAATGGTGATTCTGACAAAACTAAAAATTAAAAAATGATGGCCCTGATAAAACTAAAAATTAAAATCGTGGTTTTAATAAAACTTAAAATTAAGAGGCTGGTTCTGATAAAACTTAAAATTAAAATGGTGGTTCTGATAAAACTTGAAATTGAAACTATAAATGCAGAAACACATATATCTACTTGGTGTACATAAAATTTCTGATTCTAAATCTCTGATTCTCTCTTTCTGTTTATTCGTTAATGCTTTTTTTACTGGTCTTGTTATCCTTTGGTATAACTCTTTGGATAGTCTCATCGTTTATTACAAGAGTAACGTATCCTTAAAAAGAAGTTTCACTTTCGCAGTTCTTGTTATTTTTAGAAAAAGTCCGGCTTTCTACGAACTAACAGTTCGTTGAGCATACTAACTCGAATGCCGGCGTCGCGGTTCGCCTCGGCGACGCCAACGTCGGCGTCGCGTTTAACAGCCGCAGTCTGCGCTTTGCCGAGTGATGCCAAATACTGAACGTTGTCGTAGACATCCTTTATCGTGAATGACAAAATTTCGATGCCCATGCGGCCGACGTCTGGAGCCGCAACCTCCCTCACCAGTGTCGCAAATTGATCTCGATCCTTGTAGATCTCTTCGACGGAGAGGGTGCCTAGCGAAATCAATGAACAAAGTTCGTTTCACTGCTTCCAACAAGTATACATATAGGGTGTCATGTAACTGGCAGTACAACCGGATAGGCACAATTCTACGTAGAAAAATAAGTTGAAAATATGAAATAAATTTTTTTCACTCAAGATTCCGTTCTCGAGAAAAAGTAAGTTGAAAAAATGATAATATTGAATAGAAACCAAAAGGAGCGATTTCTCGAAAACGGAGCATTAAATGAAAAAATGTTATTCTATTTTTCCGACTTATTTTCTGACGTAGAATCAGCCTCTATCCCGTTGTACCCACTAGTTACATGACACCCTGTATATTCACCGGAATTAGTAACAAATTTGATATGCCAGTTTGATATGCCAGCATTTTCTATAGATTGCAATTTTTCTGTATTATTATCTTTAGCAATAATTAGTTATTTTTTCTATATTATATCTTGTAATTTTTTTGGGGGAAAAATTGTACACTTTTTTATAACAAGTCCTTTTGTGTACGAATGTATACATTTTTGAAACAACTATTCTAGCTTTTTATGTTTGAAAATGGCAACAACCGCGTCTGCCATTCTTCTACATATTCAGACTATATCAATAGATATTACTCATATTTAAAATAAATTAATTTCTAGTAAAAACCTATTGTCATTCAAATTCGTGGTAAAAATTCATTATAATTAAATTTTACATCGAAAATGTACTATGATTGACATCACTCCCATTAAAAATCAATTAATTTATTAAAAATCTATTACGATTTAAATTTTTATATTACTACTATTTCGAAAAATTTTATCTGCCAAATTCTGTATAATATGAAAAGATAAAAATATTTATTATTATAAATTTATATATTAATAATGAATTAATAAATATCTATTATTAGACTATTTACTATTTCAAAAATCTATTCTTCCAAAGTCCTGGTTATTATGAAACGCAGTGTACATCAACAATAAACCGACATACTCGGAATGTACCTCTGAAAACAATTCTCAGAACTACACGAACCTTTTGTATCATGAAATCTCACCTAATATAGCTCGAAGATGGCCCTCCAAGGTAGAAAGGATCGTCGATTTGATCTCGTGCACGCTTTTGCCGAGAAACTGTTCGCTGGCAGTGTGCAGCAGCTCGTCAGCCTTCATGATTTTGCATTGCGCGACCCCCGTGACGGTCAATGGTACACCTTGGGCAGTTTCCACGCTCTCGCAGACTGGGTTCAAGGTCATTACCTCCAAGGACAGACGTTGAACGTCGGTGACGAACCACCAGGTGAAGGCGTAGCCTCCCACGATGGTCCTCTTCTTCATCAGCCCGCAACATCCTCCTGTAAACATCATTGAAAAGATCGTATTAGCGAACAAGCTCGTCATAAATCAATTTGGATTGAAAGAAACAACAATTCCAATAGTTTGAACAGTTGTGATTTGTAAAATTGAATGTATGTACCTGGGTCAGAGTGTTCCAAAAATCACTCGCAATCGGGAAGTGAGGGGTTCCTGAGGTTATTTGAAGTAACTTTTTCCTTAGCAAAAATGCAATCCGCGGCNAAAATCTATTCTTCCAAAGTCCTGGTTATTATGAAACGCAGTGTACATCAACAATAAACCGACATACTCGGAATGTACCTCTGAAAACAATTCTCAGAACTACACGAACCTTTTGTATCATGAAATCTCACCTAATATAGCTCGAAGATGGCCCTCCAAGGTAGAAAGGATCGTCGATTTGATCTCGTGCACGCTTTTGCCGAGAAACTGTTCGCTGGCAGTGTGCAGCAGCTCGTCAGCCTTCATGATTTTGCATTGCGCGACCCCCGTGACGGTCAATGGTACACCTTGGGCAGTTTCCACGCTCTCGCAGACTGGGTTCAAGGTCATTACCTCCAAGGACAGACGTTGAACGTCGGTGACGAACCACCAGGTGAAGGCGTAGCCTCCCACGATGGTCCTCTTCTTCATCAGCCCGCAACATCCTCCTGTAAACATCATTGAAAAGATCGTATTAGCGAACAAGCTCGTCATAAATCAATTTGGATTGAAAGAAACAACAATTCCAATAGTTTGAACAGTTGTGATTTGTAAAATTGAATGTATGTACCTGGGTCAGAGTGTTCCAAAAATCACTCGCAATCGGGAAGTGAGGGGTTCCTGAGGTTATTTGAAGTAACTTTTTCCTTAGCAAAAATGCAATCCGCGGCTTCGTTTACGAGTTATTAACGAAAAACACTGACCAATGAGAGGCGTGCTCGGTAGGCGCGAGGCGACCCAGCCAACGAGCGGTCGAGAAGTCTAATCCCGCTCATTGAGTAACTGAAAAAATTACTTCAAATGACTACAGGATCCCCTCATTTCTCAAATGCGAGTGACTTTTGGGACACCCTGTATATAGAACGAACATAGTTGGATGAATGGGTCTAAAAAGTGATTTAGTTAATTATTTACTGTAGCGATTCCTCGTGGATTTTCATGGCCTTGAAATATGTTGTAAAGTGCTTCATTCTAAACAGTTTTTTCCCTATATACCTACAATCGGCGTTACTGTCTCATTAAACATTATCAATGCGCGTACTTTAAAAGCAGTAAGATGAGGACTAAATGTTTTCATTTCATGGAAAAATTCAAAATTTAATTAACATAGTACAGTTAATTCTTCCTAATTGGCGCTCAGATTGTACACAAGAATGGACAATTTGAGAAGAGGAAATACGATTATTCGACCGATTGTCCACAACTATAAAAACGAGCCGCAAGGCTCGAAGAACCATATCTCCTCTTCCCAAATTGTCCATCACAACTATAAATTACTCCACAAATACATTAAAAATTGCATTTCGGAGATCAAAGCGTCCTACACTGGACTTTTAAGAAACACAATCGTCCACTTCCGAATTGCTCATTACGATACCGAAGCGTCAAAATGAAATATCCTTGCAAATTGCTCGAAATATGTACACGTACAAGCATTTAAAACGCAACAATGTTTTACAAACTGCACCAAATGACTTGAATTTTTTTTTAGATGATAAAGGGCTAGTTTACTAGACAATGACCAAAATGCATTTTTTCAATTTTTTTACTATTACTTTTAATATTTTATTGAAATCAGTTGATGTTGTTATGACTTACAACAAATTAGAGATTGCAGAAATCACAGTTTTGTCACGATTTTTGACACTTTCGACCAATATAACTGTCAGAAATCTGCAGTTTTAAAAATCTTTCAACACCAGTGGCTCAGATAAAAAAGTTAAAAACGAGTGCTTTTTATTCTTTTTTGGCATTCCAAGTACATAATAATGAAATTAAAGAAAAAAGCATTTTAGTCATAGAAGGTAGATGAAAGTGTTTTTCCTCTTCTAATATTTGTTATAAGTTCAAAGCAATATGATCATATTCATAGTTTTGTATTTAGTCTATTCAATTTTTTCATAAATCCATAAAATCCGCAGTCTGTTTATAATAGACCATCTATTGTTATATTTGTTTATATTGTAAATATAATAATAATAATAATAATAATTAATAATAATAATAATTTGCTTATATTGCATATACAGGAGGGCAAAAAAGGAAAATTTATTAGGGTAAACATGATTGGATTTATTACAAATTTATTAGGGTAAACAAGTGATATGACGTAAGAGATGTCGAAGCGTTGCTTCGCTGGTTGTTTATAACAATAGCGTGGTTCGATTTGTGATTTAACGGTCGTTAATGACAACACATAACAACGTTGGTGTCGCAACGGTAAGTAGGTCGTAGCCGTATAACGGCCAACAGAGCTCTTTACCGTAAGTCAGTTCTATGACGTCAAAAAACGGCTCCTCGAATACTGGCTGTCGCTCTTCGGCTACGTGACGTGTATCACGCATCACAGAAACGTCCATTTTCACACTTGTGTGTTCGAACGAATGGAAAGTTTCTGCGTTTTTGCCTCGTTAATCATCGCTGCACTTTTGTTCATTGTCTTTGCTAATTTCAAATAGCTTTTTGAAATTGGCGAGGCACTTAGTTTTTGCAGTGTTACTGTCAATGAAAGTGTTAATAAAGTTAAAAATAGTTTACGCATTTTTATTTTATCGATAAACTATGTTCAATTGCAGTGTAATTTTCTTAAAATTTAATATAACTTTTGCAATATTATTGTCAGAATTTTCTTAAGATTTAAAATAATTTTATTCAGTTTTACAGTTTACAATGACGATTTTAATAATATTTAAAATAAATTTTGCATTTTTATCGTATTGATACATCGTGTTCACTTATAATGCAATTTGTGTTATCACTG